GCGCAGCGCGGACACGCACCGGCCAGGCAGGGCAGGAGGGGCGACACGCACAGCATCAGGGCAGCGTGCCTCAGCGCACAGTACGCACTTCTGGACTGTTCCGTTTAATACCTTCCAGCCGCGGAAAACAGGACTAGGGGGAAGGGGACCACCGTGCATCCCATAAGTTTTCCAAATCCTTGATTTTCTTTTTTTTTTTTTTTTTGGAGAGATTTTCACTGTAGGGCGCGTGCGCTCGCCAGACAGATAGAGAGAGACATAGAGACAGAAAGCGAGAAATCACCCCCCAGGGGGGATGGTCACGCCGCAATCCCTTCTCCTCCATTCTCCTCTCGGGATCTTGGGCACGCACGCACACGCGCCCGGTGTGAGTTTTAAGCCACCGGGTCCGGGACACGAACCGCGGTCGACTACGTGGGAGTCCAGCGACATAGCCATTACGCTAACTGCTGGTTCCCCCAAATCCTTGATTTTCTGAACACTAATGAGCTTTTCTGCCCCTTCGTCTGAAAATTCCTCGTCAGAAGCCACCGAGAGAACCACTCAAGAGAGACCATTAACATTCCTGAAGAGTTATTAATTACATGACAAATTCTTTAAATCTAATGCTAAAACAGTCAGAGCCAGATTTAAGATGACAGGCAGCGGGCCTGCCGATCACGGGGTTAATGCAGGTGGGCCCCACACGTCCACCTGCACAGTTCAAGTCCTAGACCTGGTGGTGCTTGTGCGTGCATGTGCGTACCCAAAATTCTGAAAGGGTGGAGAACTGGAGGAGAGGGGATTTCAGCGTGGCCATGCAGCCGCAGGCAAATTTTTCTTTTGTTTTTGGAGAGGTTTTTGCTATAGGGCACATGTGATAGTCAGACAGAGACAGAGAGACAGAAAGTGAGAAATCACTCCCCAGGGGGGATGACCACGCCGCAGTCCCTTCTCCTCCATTCTCCTCTCGGGATCTTGGGCATGCACGCACATGTGCCCGGCATGAGTTTAAGCCACCGGGTCTGGGACTCAAACCGCAGTCAATCACACAGGAGTCCAGTGACATAGATATTATGCCAACTGCTGGTCCCATCAGGCAAAAATTTTTAAAACTGTATTTCTCACATTTAAAGGGGAAATATGCATAAAGACTTTATTAGTATAATTAGGTTTACAAAACGCATAGACATGTTCCCTCAATGTATTTTTTCTATTTTTCTTTCCTTTTTTGGGGGGGAGGGGGATTTTTACTATAGGGCTCATGCACTTGCTGGAGAGACACAGAGACAGAAAGTGAGAAATCAACCCTTGGGGGGATGGCCATACCGCTCCCCCCTCCCCTCCATTCTTCTCTCGGGATCTTGGGCACGCACACACATGTGCCTGGTGTTACTTTCAAGCCACCACATTCAGGACTTGAACCGCAGTTGGCCCTGTGGGAGTCCAGATGCCTTCACCACCACGTCACTTGCTGGCCCCCAATTTCATTTATTTATTTCTTTGCCCCAAAGTAAACTGGTTCTTTAATTCTATTTTCCACAAACTGTGTGAAGCTCCTCCCCCCACCCCGTGCCGTCAGCCGACATGATAGGTGGGGCCCGAGCGACACCGGCCCGGGCCACTCACAAGCCCTTCCCTCTCAGTCCCGAGCAGCGGTACCAACGGGCTCAGCGTCCCAGCAGACTGCGTGGGGGCGGCGCCCGACAGCCCTGCCCGGAGGAGTCCTTCAGGCCCTGCTGATGAGGCTAACGTACTTGAGGTCAGTGGGTCCTGGGGCAGAGGGCTGGAGTAGGCGCAGGGTTGGGAGGCAGCCAGAGGGCCCCCAGGGATAGGGATCTCCATGGTGACAGAGGCCCTCCAAGGGCTCGTGTGCTCTCACTGTCTCTGGCTGGCGGGGAAGGCGAGTTGAGACCGCAGCCCGGGGTCTGCAAATCACAGAGCTCCAAGTGAAGCTGCTAAACCCACCCTGGGGCCCCTGGTCGATCTCAGACAGGGTCGGGAGCCTCTTCCCACTTCCCTGAGGTGGCTCCAGTGTCCAGCCTCCACCTGCCAGCTCTCGGATCTCAGCAAACCTGGTAGTCACAGGTGCGTGGGGTTGGCAGTACAGGTGTGTGGGGGCCTCCGCCACGCAGCAGCCTGGCTCTCCCTTGTAGCCCCCACAGGGTTGCTGCTGCGGCTCTGCACCTGAACCCCCACCACTCCCTCAGAGGCAGGCAGGCCTTCTGAATGTCCCCTGCTTCGCGGCTGCCGTGAGACAGTCCCTTTTGGCCTGCACATCCCCAGACTCAGGGAGGACTGGAATGTAGACGTGCTGCTCCCGAAGTGACTCCCAGCTTTCCCTGCAAGGACGGGCGACCTCAAGTCCCTGAGAGCTGGTGACTCAGGTGCAGGAAGCAGCGAGAAGGCACGTTTTCATGCACAGTGGTGTGAGGAGACCGTTCCCCACCCCGGGTCTCCCAGGGCTCCAGAGCCCAAGTGCAGCCTTCCCACAGAGCTACCCTCACCGCACCGTCCTTACCTGGCAGACAGACCACCCTGGGCAGCCCACGCGGGCTCGTCAGGCCAGGTGCTCACTGAGCACAAGCAGTGGGCGACCACACCCACAGGCCCCACTCCCTCCAGCCCTGCTGGGGAGCCCCCCTCTGGCCCCAAGGACCTCCAAGGCCGGTGGCTGATGTCCAGTGTTCAGAGAGCCAAGCCTGCCCGCCTCATGCTGCCTCCCATCCGTCCAAGGCCAATCTGTACGCACATCCAGGAGCGGCTGCTCTCCTGTGGGGTTTCAGGCCCCTCTTCCTGGCTCCTGGGCGAGGCAGGCCCACTTGGCCCCGGGGCCACACCCAAGGACACGTGGAGTGAGCAGAGCAGTGTGGGCTCGTGCATCTGGTGCATGTGCTCTGAATTGCTATTTGTTGGTGGTTTTGTTTCTTGAGTGTTTTGTTTTTCTTTAATAGGAGAAAAAGCCCCAGAAAAATGAGTGTAGCAATACTTCTGAAGAGGAGAACTGTGCGAAAAAAGAGCAAGCCGCGCAGCAAGCATTTGTGTTTGGGCAGAACTTGAGGGACAGAGTGAAGGTACGTGCTCGGGGGTTGAATGCGCTGGATTGTTGAATCGGTAAATAAAAAGTTGTTTGTTTGTTTGTTTGTTCTGCCATAGGGCACATGCGCTCACCAGATAGAGAGAGGGAACGTGAGAGATCAGCCCCTGGGAGGGATCGCCACACTGCAACCCCTTCTCCGTCTTCCTCTGGGATTTGGGGCACACACGTGTGATTCCAGGCCACCAGGTCAGGACTCAGACTGCGTTCAGCCATGTGGGAGTCCGGTGCCTTAACCACCATGCCCCTTGCTGGCCCCTAAATTGGCCAGTTTTCCACACACACACACACACATACCTGGTCAACAACAGGACTGAGAGTCGGCTTTGATTTTTTTAAAGTGGAAAAGGAGGGCCAGCAGGTGGCGTGGTGGCTAAGGCACTGGACACTCCCATGTGGCCAACCAAGATTCGAGTCCCAGGCCTGGTGGCTTGCTTTCTTAGTTTTCTTCTCTCCCCATGTCTCTCTCCAGTCAAAATAAACTCATGAATAAGTAAAATTAAGTAAATAAATCCTTTTTTAAAAAACAAGCGGGAAGGAATG